GTGTTCCTTATTAAGCAACTTGATATATTGATTGTTTGCTACACGACAGTCTTGCATGCACTCTTCAAAAGATAAGTCACTTATTGCATCACGAAATGTGTTAGTAAGTAAAGGATTGCTAATCAATTGAATTTAATAAAAGATTAATCGTAAAATAAATTTACGAAATTATCATCGCATCCATAATAATCGTATACATATTATTTACTTAATTTACTAATTACAATAGAAAGAATATTTTTGAATCGTTACATTGTGCTAGAATCTTTAATCCTTAAATTAGGGCAATTTGACAATTGTAATTTGAATTTAGTAAAAAATTAAGTTAAACGTTAACTCTTCAATTGACTATTTTATTAACATCCGTAAAATTAGATGAGTTTACACCAAAAATTAACATAAAAATCTTTCAGTTTAATTTATTGTAAAGCAAATCTCTAAAAAGTCGATTAAAAAGGAAATCATTCAATAACATGGTAAAGTATAACGTGACATACATGTTATGCGGAGATTCTCACCTAGAACTATTTAAATCTATACTCACGTAGTCAATTTGCATATTACTACATATGCATTATCCCCATCATAAATTAACTGATGTTATGAAGGTTTCGTTATCTATTCGATATTCATGCATCACGCAGTACGCAATATACCGCATTATATACGTAATTACTCACACGTGGATTAAATTTATTACGCGCTTGATTATTTTATTACTAGATGGTCGTCTAAATTAGATTTGCCCAGGTACTTTTTTCTGTATTTCCGTCACCTGTCGTTTTCGTGTAAAATGCAAAAATATTAACAAAACAACGTTTTTTTTTTATCTGGAATATAAGATTATTACATTTACAAGCGCTATGAATATTCATTCATATTTTCATTAATGGCTCATTGCGCTGCGAATAATCTGCTAACGTGAGGATATGATAACGCACGCTAAAGTAAAAGGAACAGACACAGAGACGATGTTACTGCCAGGATTATCCATAAAAATGCAAAAGAGAATGCATAACAATTCCAATAAACACTGCCCTTAATGAGAAGCGGCTCTGACTTTAGGAAAGCGCCTGTTCCCCCTTAATCGTACTTTGTAGAAAAGTTTTATAAAATTATGGAAAAGTTTCGCCGCGACCGTAATTATCACCTGGGGACGAAGGCGTCGCCACTAACAACGCGATAAATTCATTTTCTTTTTAGGCACGGACAGAATCAATTTTTTTTATTATCAAATACTATATTTAAAGAATGTTCGCACGAAATATTCTTAAAATATATATAAAAAATTCGATCTCCATGCTACTTTAGGAAAAATTGTACCACGTAAGATGAGAAAGAAATGCACACGTGCAATCATCATTGGCCAACAGTTTGTAACTTTTTTCATCATCATGCTTCTATAATTTAGAAATCAATAAGTTCGAACATGCGTAGGATTTATTTTCATTTTCCAAGAAATTCTTCTTACATTTTCAAACGTAACGCGGAATATAGGATCGTGGAAAATAGGTGCAATTTAAAAGTTAAATCGCGCCATTGGACGCCAGCGGGGAAAAAACTTTGCGACACACACACATACACATACACGTGTGGCATTATTTATTTATAACGTATTCTATAGAGTCACCTCTGTATTTCGCTGCAAAACCGCAGCATCTCGCGCGATATATATACAGTAAACTACTCTATAGAAAGGCCATGAAGAAGTCATCTCGTAAGTTTCATAAAAGTTTACAGTGGCGACAAACTTTTGACCAGAGCATCGGTCCGTACGTGCATCTCTTTCATTTCACTCTTATTCAATTTTCCGGAAGATAAACGATTATAATACCATTACAAATTCTACTTTTCTATTCACCTTATGCGTGACTTATACCACACTACATTAAATTTGTAGAAAAATTCTACCCAAGATCGCTATTTTTAAAAACAGAAAGGATATCGCAAAATGTTTTTTTATATTTATAAATCAAAAGATTTCCAGCACAAATGTTACACAAATACAGTTATAGTTGACTCACTGCTTTCTTTAAAGCTTTCAGATATCGCGCAGAAGGCCTAGTAATAACGTCGACATTTCGAAAGAGGATAACAAAAAAACCGTGACCGGATAGAATTTTGAAATATGGGACCTATTTTATCGCGGACACTGATATATATATAAAAAAAAAAAGAAGCATGTCCCCCTTGTTGCCATGAAATATTTGCCGCCGTGGGTTCAGCGTGTACTGCCGATAAAACAAAATCCGATTAAATGCTTTGTTTTCGTCACGGTTTTTTTTTTCCCGCACTACGACGCTGGTCGCGCCTGTGCCCTAATTGATTTGCCGAGTAATGGATCAGCCCGCATGTTACGAGCAAGCATCAGGGCACCGATCAGTGTAATACGACACTCTTGTGTACAACCGCGCAATATATTTCACACTATATTTATCGACGATCTTATTAACGTGTTAACTCGAAATCCATACCCACATCATTAATCTGATAAAAGAAACTTTCAAGAATTCGGTCATTCTCTTATTTTTACCAACGACAAAAAGATGATTGATTTCACGAAACTTAACGCTCGATTCAATATTTCTACAAATATTTTCGATATCGATTTGGGTCAGTGTAATGCTGCAATTGTTATAAATGATAAATTAATACATCTGGGATATAAGCAATAGTTAATGCCAATATTAGACGATATCAGTTGTGATTATGTCAGTTACACATTAATTCCTTTGCGATCCTTTTGCACGTATGGGGATTAAAAGCTGATATATGCGAATGCTACGCGGATTATTTTATTGCATTAATATATCGTACAGACAAACTAAGTATCTGGTAATATATTGCACTATCCAGCTACAATTATATTATGGCAATAAAATGTGTACGAACTTGCTGCAGCGTTTAAAAACTTTTCTAATTGCGTGTCATGAGATGAACGACGGTATTTCATTATCATGGACTTCCCTATTATCAGAACCGCTTGATTATGTTAAGCCTAGCATCGGGTTGGTCGTGCATGCTCGAGGCATGCACTCACGGACTTGACCAACTTAAGGGTTAGTCTTCGCCCAAGGTGAAGAGTAATAGACAGGGAGTCGGCGAACTATATACGAGGTACTAGAGATAGTGAAGTGTAATACCGCGTGCTGGAGAGTATAATAACGTTATACTGCTAACTAACTTCTCGCCGACGTACTGCCTACTATATCAACCTTGCATCCTTAGTCGCTTAACATGAAGCCAGTGAGAGTTTTCGCATCGACAAGTAGATAGAAATACATTATTCAAATAGAATTGGCTAAGGTATAAGAAATTAATATATACTACATGTGTGCATCAGCTTATACTATAATGCTCTGTAATAGTAATTAAAAAAAACTTTATTCGGGAAATATGCTGCAGTAAAATTGGCCAATAATCAAGAGTATATTGCACGTAAAGTTCGATTAATTTTCCTCCTGTGCAATATAATCTATAAAAAAACGTACGTAAAAACTATGTTGCCAGGATACAACAGTGGTAATTTACAAGATGTAATAATACAGCTTTTCAGAATAGCTCTCATCAAGTGAGAAAAGAGACGGTGTGATAGGATCCACTGAACCAGTAATCACACGACGATAGCGTGATCGAACGTCGTTTATTTGCAACGCTGTGTTTGACGCGTTCAGTTAAACGATCTCGGCAAGACGCCTCGCGGGAGCAATCAAAGTATAATAGAATGTTCTCAATAAATTGCGCACGTATCTTGTATGCTGTCCTGATTTCTCACATAATATCACTCCACATAATATCGTTTCGAGTGAATAAAAACAGTTGCTACGACACAGTTCGTGCGTAACATTTATAGACGTAAGAGCTTGCTTCATAAATACATTTTTATGCAAAATTGATAGAAAATTCTGCTTGAATAATCACATTATGTATTTGTAAATAAAAGACAGTTTTATAAGAAAGATGAAATTTTATATTAAGAATGATGGAACATAAACATGGTAATTAAACAGTTTAGAATTTCTCAACGAAGAGCTTGAAGAAATGGATACACTTAATTAGCCGCCTTTATCGATTTTTCTTGTAACGAAATGGGGCTTGTTAATATGCTCCGAAATAATTCCATAACTAATCCGTACTAATCGGTCTTTAATCGTATACCTGCGATCCGGTTTGATTGAAAGTTTTTTTTATGTTTTATTCAAAACCCCGGCTGCCTGCGCTTGGCACCAGCAGCACGCTCGTTCATCATGTGTCGGACCACTGTAATCGAGCATTTTCGAGGGTGATTAAATTGTCAACAGTTCACCTGATACCTCGCCGCATCCTTTCCCTCAACCTCAATATCGATCTCGATATTGCTAATTTCCCGTAGATTTTTCAAGCATCCCTATTATTTGAAATATTGTGGAAACTGTCAAGTATGTGAAGCGAAATAACCGATCGCAGCTAAAACGAATAAAACAAATGCATTTGAAATAGTGAAACAAAGAGAATATATCTGAAAAAAATACGGAATTACTTTATAACGATGGATCGTCTGATTGAAAAATAATTCTACAAAAAAAAAATCGAAAAAATCAAATGATATTCGGAGCGGTACTTGAGATTCACGAATACCGTCATATCTACCTATAACCAATTAGGTCACACAGAGCCGCCGCAAACGGTTGACCGTCGGTCCGAGAACTTTAATGAAAGCCTTTCAAAATTCATCGGGCGTATTCTTTATCGGGGACCGTTCTTTATCGAAGCAATTAGAATACTTATGCAGTTTGCATAAACCATCCGAGTCATCGACGACCAAAATTACCGGAATGTTAATCAGCTGTATTTAAGCGTATTATGTTCCCCATTATGTCGCGCTCAAGGAGATGGTGCATAATGTAACGAGAGATATGAATTAAAAACATCAAAGCTCTCTTCGTATCAATTAACGTATCGTATATCAGGTATCGCATTACTTAAGATCTCGCGGTACTAAATAATCGTCTATAGCTTACCTGATGCCACCACGAGTCGTGTCGTAATTCAACGTACGAAGTCCGTGCCGCCACGTGACATAGCCGGTGGGTTGCGGTATATTGCTGACTACACACTTCAGCTCTATTGTGCTACCTGCTTTGTAAAACTTATCGGCAGCCGTGGCACCATGCTCGTCGACAATTTCCACCTTCGGCACTGCACAAAAATCGATTAATATAATTAGTTTCAGATGTATATATTTTAATACACAAGACATTTTATTTAAATTTAATTGTTTACATGATTATAGAAAGTGCAAACATTATTTTTTAAATTGAATCTAAGAAAACTGCCACAAGTGCTTTTCATTTATAAGCAACGCGCGTTCCATTGAATGGATGATAAATAAATGTAAACGATCGTAGATCGAGCGATCTCACTAAGTGCTCGATCCGAGATCAAAGTGACACGACGTCATTGGATGTGCGAGCAAATGAGGCTTCGGGATCGAATAGAGGCAAGCATTAGTTGCGGTTTCCGAAGCGAAGTCAAGCTTAATTACTATCGTAAAGCAATAGGAAGTCGTCGCTTTTCCTTTTAGTGCCGTCGCTCGTTTCTCCATCACGTAACGTCCAATTGAGCTGCGGAAATTTTACCTCGTTTAGGAATTTTCGATGGGGGATCTCTATTTTCGATTGTAGACGAATGAAATGGAAAGCAAATAATCGCTTTGTAATCATTCTTGTATATCGTAAAGCTGTTATAAGCACGAATTGTTTTCTCGCTCAAATATCAGACAGCCAGATCTCTTTACTCAGCAATTTTCCTCTAAATAGGTAACACGCAATATAGATGATAAGTACACGATTAATTGTACCTATCGTCTTAAGTACGGTGTTACAAAGATAAGAGCTGCAGCAAGCAAACGGCGCGACGTGACCTATCTACAATCGACTAAACAACGTAGCCGAACCAACACAGCGATTCACGCCTCGATGCAAACAAGGACAAATAAGATGGAAAAATTTGCGAAGCTGAAAGACAGAAAAATAAAGCGCGACAAAAGGAACAATTTTTTAAAATTGCTTAGATCATCTACAAGTTTTTTAATGGAATTGTAAGATAAAAGTGTGGAATATATATATATTTTAATAAGATGTAATATTTTCTTATTACGTTTCTCGCGCGAGGAGCAATGTTATGCCGCGATAAGCAGAAAAAGAAGAAAAGAGATAAAAAAAAAAATAAGATGAAGAAAATACAGGAAGACGAGAAACAACAAAGTGACGATTGCCGCGAGGAGAACGAGAGCAGGAATCAACTATAAATACTAGGCGAACAATCGGGGGGATGAAAGCCTTCGCTTCGTGGCGCCAGCTAATCAAAGCCTTGGCGGACTAATTCCGCACTGCCCTCCGCGTCCTGCCCTTCCCATCCTGCTGGCATCGGCCAAACAATGCCTGACAGCGGCAAACTTTTGCAACGTCCATTTAGGAAAAACTCCATTTGCACTCAAATAAAGGCAACCGAGTGGTCCAGCCTGCATCTCTTGTGGGCATCTCCTTTCTTCTCCACGCTACTATTCATCGCTTCGCGTCCCGACCTTGTCGCCGCTATTCAATCTGTATCGCATCCGACAACGCTCGCGCATCGTTATAGAACAAACCCGCCCGCAGCCAACGCATCTACGTGTTAACTATCTGTTATTGTGTCCCATGTCATTACTGACCGCTTTTCTATCTTTTTCCCAGTATGAAACTCGGAACGTCCATCGGGAATGAAAAAAAAAACAGCCCATGTTAAAGTGGATCGAAAAACAACCAGGCACGAAAAGCTTACCGAGAAATTTTATTTTTCTCCTCTTTTTTTTTCTTTTGGATGACGGAAACCAGAGCCGTTTGGCCGACTCGCGTTCCGATTTATCCATTTTTGCTTCTTTATTTATCGAGTTACCAGCCTGTGTCTCCCTTGCGGTCGGTATACTTCTACGTCCTTTGAGGCTGTGACTTGTAGCGCACGTCCTTTGAGAGCTGCTTTCTTTCGCGTGCGACGTCGCCCTACGCTCTTTGCTCTTTCTCCACGTTGTTTTTATGGGATGTACAAAGAGATATTCGTGGCAGATTCTCTTTCGCTGCTTTTAACCCCACGTACCATGTCGATAGAGAAAAGCGAGCGAAGAAAAAGAAATCTGTCTGGTGAGTCAAAGCGTGGGAAATATTTGAATACCTCTGGTTTGTACGCACGTATTCACGATATTTTCTTCAACCGTTGCATTTCACAATCTTTCTCTCGCCACTTTGTTTACCAACATTTTGTTTAAAAAATACGATAATTATATTACCAACAGTAAGTGTATTCACGAGTCGCGGAAAATACATAAAAGTTGTGTAGTTTAAGTTATATACGTACGGCTGTATTTAATTGGAAGAATATAAACTACAAGAATGTAGAAATAAATATATTATGAACAAATGGAGGATTTGTTGCCGTATATTCATTCGCAGCTACGGAGAAGTCCGTTACTACGGACGTAATTACAGCGTTTGCTTCACGGTTCTTTAACGTACAAGTAGATTCGAATTTTTATTCACGGAATAAGTGTAACTAGTAACAAAAACGAGGTTGTGTTTTTCACCTTATTACGGAGAATTTCAGTCTATATATACTCAGAAAATTTCGAAATGTTAATGCAATAATGGATTACATGCACGAAAATGAATTTTTAAAAAATCTCTCGGATATTACATTGCACAAAACGAGCTATTCTGGAAATACTTCATTAAAAAAAAAAAAAAAAAAAAAAAGCGTTTGGACAGGGAAATTCACACACGTGTCCTCTCCGCGAGGCCCCGAGGGAAACGAGGGACGCGTATGCGCGCGCGACCCCGGGGGTCACGCGTGTATGCATATGCATCCCCGGGACTCGGCGATGCACAAGCGGCGAGATTGCGAGCAGTATGCATGGGAATCACGTTGTTGTGATGTACGATTGGAGCGGCGCCGTACACACGCCGCCATATGCTGCGTCGTGGCTCTATCCAACCCCCAGCATCAGCATCTCGTCGGAGCCGTTTCGCCCATCGGCGCGGCCGCGGTATATGTAGTCTTACGACCCGCTACTCTCTCGCATCGAGAGAGAGAGAGAGAGAGAGAGAAGGAAACGCATTCCCACCGCATTTTACAACGGGGGATAAACCGCCGCGCCGCTATTCCCGAACGTTGGGCTTCGACCGCATTCGCGCCAAAAATAATCCTCTCCGACGTTGTTTCCGTTCTACCGATCTCTCTCCACCCACACTATACACGCGCTTATCTCCTTCACCCGATATCTTTTTCCTCCGTTTTCTCTCCATTCACCTTTTTATTTCTCCTTTTTTTCTCTCTCTCTCTCTCTCTCTCTCACTCACTCTACCAATATATATACCCCTCGATTATACTACTACGTGCCATCGCGTGTCCAATACCAAAGTTAGCTGCTTTCGCCTTTGTGTTGCGCCGCGCGATAATGGACAGACAAATTGCTCTCTTTAGCCGCGAGCCAGGTACGTGACTGCATGACAGAGTCAATGTCCTTCGCGGGTGGTAGAAAAGAGACACGTCTAGTTAAATTCGTTTGTTTGGACAAGAACCAAATGCATTAGCAAATGACCAGCGAGTAACCACTGTGTGTATTAACGGTATAAAAATAATGTTATTACATTTTTTTATACGAAAATATAGATGTAATACTAGGAGTTTCTTTTTTAAATAATCGCACATTGGATAATAGTATCACGTTTGTTTTTTAACGATAAAAGAATTATTCCATTACGTTATATATGTATACGTCGTATATATGTAAAGAAGATTGTTCGCTGTTCGCTGGCGATATATATATTCTCGCTAATGTACAACTATATTATGAATGTGATGATATCGCGAATTGACTTCTAGACTGGCGAGACGTACGTATCTAACGTCAAGAGCTTTTAATTAAAATATGGAGATGAGAGCGCAAAGCCGACCATTGTGGCTTCGAGTGGGACTGCAATAATAACAGATAATATATCGTTCGTGAAAAGCCGTTGTAACTGGCTCTTTGAAACAATGAATTCAAATCCGAGACTCGTTACTGTTGGCGGAACAATAACGTCTCAAATCCAGGTCCTTGGCGATTGCCAAAGCTATATTTATCGCAAATATTATCCTACATCTTTTCTCCTCCAGGAGGCTAATGCGCTTATTGTATTTATGTATATCAGTGTGCGATGCACTCTTTTAGCCTTTTCAAAGACTGAATATACTCGATACATCTATGACATTCAATTCGTTTCGCAACATCGTATAAATCGCGCGCACGTGACGCCTTCGCGGCGACGGCGTTTTAATATAGCGCCGTTAATCAAACAGATAATCTTAACCGTACTTTAGCCATTAGCGCTATATCTGACAAGTTATCGTCCGATTTTTACTGGAATTTTACAGCTCGGTTATTACAGATGGCCGCGTCACGTCAAATGACGCTCGCGCGCACACAACGCCAAGATTCGCACACATGAGAGAAGCCAGATATAATAATTACGCGCGAGAAATGTTTAACGATTCTCCACCTCCGATCCTCGTGAAACTCGCCATTTCCCGTGACTCGATTTTTAATTTCTCTTAATGCGATTTATACTAAAAGCACGCACCGTGAGACGTATTCTCGTTAGTCCACTCGTCCGAGTTTACTGATTGGCGGGCCAGTCATTATCTCGATTTCACGCTACGCAGAATTCAGTGTCTGGTGTCCTTGCATTGAACATTAACGGATATTGCGAATCGATGTATTTCGATGTGACCACAAACACACACTAAATCCTTTCGGCTCGAAAAAATCAGCGACGTCTAAATTGTCGAAAATACACGATCAGAGGCAAACGATTGACCGTTCAAAATGCAGTTCCTCGGATCAAAGAGAGAGAGAGAGAGAGAGAGAAAGAGAAGCTTTACTTAAACATGCTATTATTCAGTAAACCGCAGGGATTTTGCGACTCAAACATAATCGCTTAACTCGAGCGACAGAATCGATTCCTTAATTCTGATTTCTGATAAGGGGATTTTTTAAAAGGAGAAAAATCTTCCTTTATAGATTTATTTTTGAAAATTTTTAGTTTATTCATATTTCTTTCTGCCTGCTCTTTTTATTCTCTCACATATATTAGAAATATCTTTTTGAAATGTTTTTTTCCTCTATC